TGGTCACGCCGCAATCCCTTCTCCTCCATTCTCCTCTTGGGATCTTGGGCACGCACGCACACGCGCCCGGCGTGAGTTTTAAGCCACCGGGTCCGGGACACGAACCGCGGTCGACTACGTGGGAGTCCAGCGACATAGCCATTACGCTAACTGCTGGTTCCCTAGATTAACTTTAGTAGCAGATGGAGATGAAAACTGAAGTTTGGGTTTGGTAAATTATGACACTGAGTTGTTGTTTTTTTTTTTTAACGTTTTCACTATAGGGCATGAGTGCTCGCTAGAGAGATGGAGAGAGGAAATATGAGAAATCACCCCTCGGGGGACGGCCACTCCAGAGTCCTCTCCCCTTCATTCTCCTGGGATTTCAGGCATGCATACACATGCACACAGCGTGATTCTAAAGCTGCCAGATCTGAGACTTGAACCATGGTCTACCGTGTGGAAATCCAGTGCCTTAATCACCATGCCAACTGTTGGCCCGAACACTGAATATTTTATGTTAACAATCATCCTATATAACATGTAATTAACATGTAGAGTTGAAGATGAATAAATATTAATCATAATAAAAATGGAGCATTTTTTAAAAATAATGTTTGGAAAATAAGTATTAATGTATTTACTACTCATTTTATTTCCTCTTTTATTCACCACCAATTTATGCTGGGTTTGTGTCATTTCAGAAGCCACTTGGATATGCATTCAAAAATTATAATTACCTGCTTGCTAAGAAAATGAGATACCGGAAAATGAAGAAAAGGGAGGCTATGAGTTCATTCTCGTATCCAGAAAGTTATAGCCCAACTACGCCAGTGGGAAGGCGGGAAATTGACTCTCAGAGCAACAATGAAGAAACATCTTATCAGTCCCAGGAGTACCAGGAGCCAGAGCAGTCATCCCCACACAGGGAGTTTGAGCGGCCAACCCCCACCCAGAGCCCACTGCCTGCCTCATTCTTCCCCTCACAAGGATACCAGCCATATTTCACATCCGATGATGTGGTGCCTGGCACTTCTGCAGTGTCCTGCTTTGCCAGCCCTGGGGCTCACAGTGGTAGCAGCATGCTCTCGTGTGCCCGATCAGTGCCTTCAGCCATACTGACTCAAGAAGAATCGGATCTGGCACAGAACCCGGAGACGGAAAATTACCCAGCTATTGTAGAAAATAAACATATTCTGTCATCTTTCCACATTCCTCAAAACTTTGGTGAGTTTGAGATGACACCTAATACAAGAAATACTATTCAGCCTATGTTCCTCACCATCCTTGGTGCAAGCTAGTGGGAGCAATTTATTTCCTATGTTGAGTACTGGTTTTAGGTGGTATTTCTGGTGGGGCATCTATTTGTTGAACGCGTATTACGTGCCAGGTACCGTGCTAAGCCACAGATGTGACTTTTCTCCACTTATTTTCCTAATCTTCTATTTTTCTTTACCCTTGCTCTGGGTAAATAACTCAAAACACTTCTGAAATAGCAATGGTCATTTCAGGTAATAGGATAAAAAGAGGATACCTTTGGCTAATTCACCCATGAAAAGATCAAACTTGTGGTTAGAGAAATAAATCTTTTGAGGTAATTGCCAAACCACCCCAGCTCTCACACGCTAACTTTAGGGAGCCAAGTGCTCTGGTTGAGTGGATGGATACTGTCAGGACCCAAAGAAATTTGAGCACAACTCAGTGAGAGCACAGCTAAAGCCTTTCCAGGTATGAGCACTGAAATTGTTTCATGTCTCAGTTATCTCTTTTATAACTATATAAACCTTCAACCACAGCATCTATTACTATGCAATTAAACATGAAAGAGAAATTAAATAAGATGTTAAAATTACTTCTGACTTAGTAAAGAAAAATCTTGTTTTCTTTAAAATTCAGATAAGCATGAGATGAGAATCTAATGAATAAAATGATGCTAAAAACATCCATATTGAATACATGAACATGTTGGCTCTCACAGATAATGGGGTTATTGAAACTCCTTGATTAGAGTGAATAAATTTAAGCAGCTGTAAAACTGTAAATTTGGGGGATTCTCATTGTATTTAGCTAGTAAAATAAACCTAATTCAAACAGAGATTCAGAGAAACTCATTAACATACTTGAAGGAAGAGAGTCATGGGTTAGGTTGATTAACCTAATTTAACCCAAGTAACAGATCTTTTGCTGTATTTGCCTGTGGCCAAAGAGACCTTGGATTGTTCCACAGTCTGTTCTATGATCTTTGAAGCTTTAAGGTACTGTCTGGAGTCGCTTTTGTTGTTAAGAGGAGGTCAAATGGGACACTTCTGTGTAGCCATCTTAGTTCACCTTTACATAGACTTTTACTAGGTTTCACGGCTGAAGTCTTGAGTCCTTGCTGGGGTACTTAACAAAGTTCCAGGAATGACACCATTACTTCCTACCTAACATCTCTTCTTTCAGGATAATGATTCGGTCAAGTATGATTTGTTTTTTTTCCCCCTGTTGAAGCTCCAAGTTTTATAGCTGTACCTGACCCCAGTGTCCTGAAACAAGGCTTCTCTAAGGACCCTTCAACCTGGTCTGTGGAGGAAGTGATACAGTTTATGAGACATACAGATCCTCAGATATCAGGCCCCCTCGCCGACCTCTTCAGGCAACATGTAATGTATCTTTTGATCCGGTTTTCCTGCCATAATGCCTTTGAATGACCTCTGTGCAGGCCTTTCAGTTGGATGCTGAGTAGTGTGGATGGTGGGGGAACCCTATCAACTGATTTTCCTCTGTGAGAGAGGTTATTTTCTCTACGTTAGATCCTTAAATGGTAGGTTGATGGTCTGTTTTTTTAAATGGGTATCCAAGTGCCTAAGATACCAAATGGCCTCAAGTTCTGGAGAGATGACCATTCAGCATTGCCATTCTCAGCTGTACCTCTCCTTGGTGATAAAGTACAAGGATCCTCTCCCCTTCCTACTCCCTTCTTGGCTCCAAGACCATGGTAGGAGGGCATGACCACAATCTGTCACAGGGAGGCCTCCTTGTTAGGCCGATCAATGAATCCAGCAACTGCATAAGATTTTAAACAGGAACTCATGAATACCAAATCATATGCTTCCATGACATAAATTGGTTAATGTAATGAATAAGTTTACAAGGATATTATGATTAAGTGATATTTTCATATTTTTTCTACCAAAATTAATTTGTGATCTAATATCTGATATACTCACTTCAGTATAGTTAAAAAAATAGTAATTAGTTTTAGCATCTAACTAGCTTCAGACAACTAACTGATTAGCTTTCAACATAAAGACAACTCTGGGTAGCACATTTATAGTTTGCATCAATGCTGACATATTCCCAGTTCCTCTCAGAAAGATAATGACCGTCTGAAATTCATTTCTACTGTTCATAGATTTTGGCCTTTTGTTCATAGATATATAGTATTTTATTCAACATGCATTATTTATTTAAAATCAGGTAGTTGGATGCTTAGGACATTTTTCAAAGATGCTACATTAAATTTCTTTTCTCTTAAAATTTGAAGTAAGTTATAAGTTATCAAATCATGCTTCACTATGCAAATTTTAACAGTGTTCATAAAATAGATGTGTATTCTCTGAATGAGCTGCTCTAGTTTGTTTTACATGTTCTTGTATATAAAGAAATGACCACTCTGCTAAAATATGCAAGTATTGTAAATGATTCTTTCTCTCTGCAGGATATTGATGGGAAGGCTCTACTCCTACTCAAGAATGACATGATGATGCAGTATATGGGGCTGAAGCTGGGGACTGTCGTGAAGCTGTCCCACTACGTTGACAAACTTAAAGAAAAACACTTTAACTTTTAAAATTTGTGTCAGTTTAGATGGGGCTTACTTCTAGGGAAACCAATTCTTCCTTTTGAAAAATCATTTTTCTGCCCTTAGCAATATCTATCTTATAGAAAGCCCCTCTTACTATATGTTATATCCAAAATTACAGAACATTTCAGTCCAGTTTACTTCCTTAAAAACCACTTAGCATATTAGTATGAGCATATTTAAATAGGAAGTTCATTCTTATTATTTTCATTGCATAGTTTAGAAATATACTTCATCGTCTACAAATATACTTCATGCAGGAAACAGTGAACAACCTTTGATTTTGGTTCACCTTTATATATAGAACCAAAACAGCTAAAAGAGGAAATATTTGGGATTGGCAGCTTCCATAATTAAATCCATGAGAATTTTTCCTCACAAGAGAATTTATCAGTCAGTGTGCCTTTAGATATCATCTCTTTCTCAAATATTTTATTTGTTCAGATTTACAGGGAAAAAAAACCTTACAAGGTTTCTTAAAGTATTCTTAACAATTTTTAGATAAATTAGAGGATAGATAAAATGGTTGTTTTATGCAAGAGATATTTTACAGCAAAAGTACCTATTTTAAAACTTTCACATGTTAGCTAAGTTTGGACATTTAACTAGACATTCACCGTTCACCTCTCTCTGAAGATGCCTATGTCCAACTTTCTAAAAGCTATATATTTTATTGTCTGGGTTTAATCCCCATATGGGTACTGTTTTATATTTATATTTCATTGTATACTTGAAGCATATATATGCAAGTGAATCTTTTTTAATTTAAAATGGCACTTTGCACTGCTGCAGAGGGAATGACGAACTATGTATTAACGAGATATATTTATTGTGTAAAATTTATATGTATCATTTGCCATTTCCATTACCTCTCAGCTTCCTCTTCAGGGATAAGAAACCATCTATAGACTACTTTCCATTCAGGGAAGTTCTCTCTGCTATGCAGTGCTTCTAATTAATCTGCTGAGTTCTGAGCCATTTATTCTGCTAGATCTTGAAAAATCCGTTAGTTCTGACTTATTGTTTTGGGCTTGATTTTATAAGTTATACTATTTATTATTATTTGTTACTATTGCTATATATTATATAACTTATAAACCCTGATATAAGGTTTATAAGCTATGAGAATGGATACTAATAGTACTAACCATAAATTATAAGTGCCAATAAAATTTCACCAGGGGAAAAAAATATATATTTTCTGTTTAGAATACCAAGGATACTTCACACAGAAATGCGACTGCATATTAGACACATGTGATTTAAATGGAGAGTTAATTTATGCTATTCCTTATGTGTTATAAGATGACATTCTAACTTAAACTTGGTCTTCTTTCAAATTGTTTGTATGAAGATGCTGTGACCAGCTGAACAATTCTCAGGTGTTTGTATAAACACTGTTTTGTCATGTTATGATTTTTAAATACAATAAAGTTAAATAACCTCAACAATTACTGTCAAAGCCTCAGATTTTGTTTTATTTTACCGTCACTGCATTATATTAATGTGTAATTTGTTAAAATTTAAAAAGAGCCACTCTTAAGTTTGTGGCTTTGTATGTCCAAATAAGATTGACTCTTACACAACATGGATTTGAACTGTGGGGGTCCACTTATAGGAGGAGATTTCAAAAATCTCATGGAGAAATTGAAATACAGGTCTTTTTAAGTGCAAAACATTTTTTTTTAATCCATGGATGGTTTGTTGTGTAATACATATTTTCCATGAAGTTTTTGAAGACACCCTTGTACACAGATTTTTTTTTCCAGTAAATACATTGGAAAATACAGGAGAGTGCTTTAAATGTATTCTCTTCCTTATGATTTTCTTAATAACATTTTCTTTTCTCCAGCTTAATTTAGTGTAAGAAAATAGTGTCTAATAACATACAAAATATGTGGTCGTCAACACAATAGGTAAGGCTACAGATAAAAAGTAGGCTATTACTAGGCATTATTATTATTTTTTAATTTGCTATAGGGTGAGGATGCTCACGAGAGAGAGGGGAAGGGAAAGTAAGAAAGCATCCCCAAGTCATCCTCCAATACCTTCTCCTCCATTGTCGTCTTCAGATTTGGGGCACGCATGCACACGTTTCCAAGTCACCAGATCTGGGATGCAAACAGTGCAGTAAGCCATGTGGCATGCAGCTACCCAAATCATCACGCCACTGACTGACTCACTAGTCATGTTTTGGGGAAGTCAAAAGTTATGTGGACTTCAACTGCACAGGGGACCAGCACTCCTAACACCGGTGTTCAAGTGTCAACTTGCACTTGAGTTTTAAAACCTACCCTGATTAGGATACCTGAGAACAAAGGGCTGACCTCTTATAGGGGCTTTAAACAAGACCCCAGGGGGCCCATAAAAAATTAAGTTGATGATCTGTGCTCAAATCCTTCATTACTTGCAATGTTATCTGCTTATGTGACCAGGCTAGAAAATGCCAGTGTCCCCCAGACACCTCATCCCAAGCTGTTCGTCTGGCTGGCCACTCTGCCTACTCTTTTATCAGTGGGGGAGCCAGAAGCCATTTCCCTGATACACCTGCTATTACCCCTATGTCTTCAGATGGCTTGGCTTTCACAGGGAGGATGAAGGTTACAGTTCAGTAGTCTTAATTATCTGACCCCCCACTCCACGCACTGCTGCTGCTTGGGAGGAACCCAGACACTTCTGCTGTTGCTTCTCAGCTGCATGTCCTGCAGTTCATTGGAGATGATGGGGTCTTGACTGAGGCAGTGGGGATGCTGCCCAATGGGCTAGAATGGGAACAGATGTCAGTTTTTTTTTTGTTTTTTTTTTGCAGTGGGGAGGGGGAAATCATTATTTTAAAAATTTTATTTAATTTACTTTTTTAAAAAGAGATTTTTGCTTTAGGGCATGTGCACTTGCCAGAGAGAGAGAGACAGGTAAAGTGAGAAATCATCCCCCAGGGGGAATGGCCAGGATCTTGGGCATGCATGCACATGCTCCCAGTGTGATTTTGAAGCCACCGGGTCCAGCACTCGAACCACAGTCAGCCATGTGGGAGTTCATCAACATAACCACTAGGCCATCTGCTGGCCCCTTCATTTACTTTTAATCACTGTGCATCTCTATAGTGTACAACATAGTTTTTCCCAGCATGCATACAGTGCTCTTTCTTCTAGCTTTGCCTCTCAGTCCGTCCTTTGACTTGAGCTCCATGTTTACTCTCTTACTTAGAGAGTAAACGCCATGACTAGGAGCAGTGCCCTGGGGGCGGGGGAGCCCTGCTCTTTTTAGCTTCAGAAGGGATCATTCTGACCTCAGGGTTGGCTGAGTACATGAGATGAGTGGAAATTTTGGAGCCTCTTTCTCCATCCTGATGCTGGGACCTGCTTGCAATGTCTTTAGAGGCTGATAAGGCAATGAGGGAGGGCTCTAGAGTAGAGAGGACAGAGAAACAAGGGCCCACCCTTGGAATGTGGTGGACTTTCTCCTTCCTCTATTTCCCTGTTTTCAGCCCTGTTTTGTCTAGCAAGTTGATGGGCTTGAACCTGAAAGTGACTCTCCGTAGTAAGTACATACTCAGGTTGAACTCGGCTTCTCTACTTGCTATAGTAGAAGAATCTCTCATGTTAGGAGATCACTTCCTCTGGCTTTAGGGTTGTTATCAGCTCTGAGGGGAGATCCTTAAGAAATAATGGACCTAGCTCCTTCCCTCAAGCTTCCTAGAACATAGTTGAGGTGAACTTACATTCATGAAAAGGAGAACCTCAGGACACATGAGATATAGCATGTGAGTCAGTCCCAAACACCAATAAGTGATATGTCCATAAGGCTTCCATAGCTGTGTGTCCCTGTCTTCAAAGAACCAAAACACTTGGGCAAATTCACTTAAATATAATCCCTTAGGGCCATGGAGACAGCTAGGGCATGGTTATGGCCTCTGCAAGCTGCACTCTACTTTTAGCTTCACCCCTCTACCTGGCTTTGGCTCGTCTTGGATACTCAAGTCCACTAATACCAGGGACTAATATCAGGTAGGAGCGTACATACTCTATGGGGTACAGGAGTCAATCCATTGGGAGTAGGACAAATATATTATACCTTCCTTTTATATTCATACAAGATGAGAGCAATTATGCTTGTCTACAGTTCTGAAGTTCTGGACATGGCTGATACTTGCCACCATCCCAGCCTTTCTAAGTTGCTCTCTGTCCTTAAGGGGCATAAAGCCTGAAAGTTACATTTCCCACTCTCCTTTGCTAGTAAAATTTGGTTCTTAGATTTTGCCACAAGAGACACTCCGTCATAATTTTGGAAGGAAGAAGGTAAGGACAAATAGTTTTCCTCTGGTAGCCCCACAGGACAGACCTCGCTCAGCAGAAGGCATATGTGGGGTATGCCAGTGGTCTCTGAATGTCATCTTAAGGTTAAGTTTCAATCATGCAGGCAGCCGAGACCACTACAGGGACCTTCCTACAACCCTTGCACTTCCATATTTCTCGAAACTTCCTCATTACCTTGGCCCCCTGCCTTCCAACAACTATATACGTTTCTGATTCTGTATGAAACCAATTCTGAAGACTTAGAATGGCTTCTATGTTCCTGGTCCAATCCCAAACTACCCATATCTTTCCAAATGTCTGTCCCACGGTGGTTGTCCACCTTTCAGAGGGGATAGAAATTCCACAGAGCAGACCCTTTATATTATCTAATTTCAATAATATATTTCGGGACCAGCAGTTAGCATAATGGCTATGTTGCTGGGTTCCCATGTAGTCGACCACAGTTCGAGTCCCAGACCCAGTGGCTTAAACTCACACCGGGCGCATGTGCGTGTGTGCCCAAGATCCTGAGAAGACAATGGAAGAGAAGGGATTGCAGTGTGGCCATCCCCCCTGGGGGATGATTTCTCGCTTTCTCTCTGTCTCTCTCTGTCTTTCTGGTGAGCACACGTGCCACATAGCAAAAACCTCTCCCCAAAAAATAATAATATATTTCATCCAGTCTAAGACTCAGATTGCAAGATGCACCACTTTTTTTTTTGAGAGAGATTTTTTTTTCACTATAGGGCGCGTGCGCTCGCCAGACAGAGAGAGACATAGAGACAGAAAGTGAGAAATCACTCCCCAGGGGGGATGGTCACGCCACAATCCCTTCTCCTCCATTCTCCTCCCAGGATCTTGGGCACGCACGCACACGCGCCCGGCGTGAGTTTTAAACCACCGGGTCTGGGACGCGAACCGCGGTCGACTACGTGGGAATCCAGCGACATAGCCATTACGCTAACTGCTGGTTCCCAGATGCACCACTTTCTAATGAATCAAATAGGAATAGGCCTATTAGACTATCACCACCAATAATAATATGCAAACCAGTTGCATAAATATCAAAATATGAAAAAATGGGTGATTTAAGACATATAAAATGTTAACTTTCAAAATCTTACCAGGTGATTTTAAAAGGTTAGTGCAAAGAAACAACATTAGTGGGATTAAAGGCCAATAATGTAAACCCAAGGTTACAGCAAGAAAATTGCAGAGCTTGTCTGAGCCTTGCAACAACCACAGTGGAATGGAAACAAAAGGAATCTAATTGGATCTGCCAAAAACACACAATTATAAAGAAAACTTTGAAATGTGAAATTATATCCACCATCATAGGCAAAATGCCTTGCCTTACATGGCCATTTTACCTTTAGGTATTAGTTAATATTAGGAGGAGACCATCACATTTAATGAGACATTTAACAAATTTCTGGCATTCCTCAAGGGGGAAAAAAGAGAAAGATTACAAGTTTCTCAAGAGACAAGTCCTCCAAATGCACAGATCTTATTTAGATTCTGATTAAAAGACGCCCCAGTAAAAAGGCATATATGAGACTATGCAGGAAAAGGTGGACACCCAATGGATGACATTAAAATGTTATTATTCATTTCTAACAATGATGCTAATGGTATTTTAATTACATTTTGGAGAAGTCGTGCTCTTATTGCTTAGAGATATATACTAAAGTTTTACAGATTAAATGAGATGGTATCTGGGATTGCTTTGAAATAATCTAGCAAGGGAAGGTGTGTAGATGAACAGGAATTGACTTTATGTTGACTTTGTTGAAGCTAGTGTCACATACATGGGAATCCACTATACAAATCTCTCTACTCTTAAATCTGTGTGAAAATTTCCATGCTAAAAAGTTTAAGAAGATTAAGTATCCAAATTATGAAAGCAAGCTATCTATTTTTTCTTTAGAGATGTCTGAAGGCAAGTAACATTTAACCTACAGAGAATTTCAGTAAATTAATGGTAAATATTTAGACTCCTTCCCAGAGATTTCTTAATATAAGCTGACAACAGTTAAGCCACCTACCACTAAGAAACACCTGTTCTTCCTGAT